AAGGTGTCGATACATAAAGTGTTAATGAACCGAAACCGCGCCGTACAAAGACTGCCATAGAAAATGGCTTATCTTATTCATCGTTTCCACCTTCAACACTTTTGCTTTTAGAGGGTTTAGAGATGGAAGTTGGAGAGAAAACTTAAGGTCTGAATCCAAATTTCGTCGGGCTAGATCATATCCTGATCGTATATCACTTTATAACATTTTCAGATAATATAATGAAGTGGATAACGATCGAAATGCTTCTAGATGTTTATGCACTTAAAGGCCCCCAAATATCTAAAACACAGCGTTTTGGAGAAGAAGAAATTGGTCACGGCTCACACGCACGTGGGTTGATTTCTAATGGGACCCATTCTGGTGCTGAGTCGTGACACGTGTTGAACACGTGCTCCACTGTGTCTACATCACTGTGGAAGGATTTTTGGAGTAATGGAAAACCCAAAGATCAACAAAATCAAGTTTGAAAATGAAGCTCACTTATTTATGTACTTTTCCTATATGAATATTCAAAAATAAATAATTTTAATTTGAATATTCATTCATATGCACCCAAATTATCATATTTTGGTTACAACATTGATTATGTGTGGGATATAAATCATTTACCTAACCAACTTTTGAGAAGAAAAGGAAAGATTGTTCTTTTTATATTTCAAAAAGAAAGATTCGCGGACCAAAAAGAGTAGAGAATTATTAGAGATTCTTGGAGACCTCATGATCTACTAACGTGGGTCGAAGAAGATTACGTGGCTGAATTTGGGATCCTTGCATAATCTAAAAGTTCTTACCTAATACAGTAATAGATTTTAATATTTGCATAAAAATATTATAAATCGTTTTATCCGATATTCAGAAACACATGCGTACCAAATCTGACTACCAGAAAATCATTAGCCAGTAAGGTATAGCCACACTTGTCTTCGACAAAAATGTTCATGTTAGCTAGGAATCTCTATACCTTTTGACCCCTAAAAAAAAAACTAGGAATATACCATATCGAGAGTACTTTTTATATTCACTTTTTTTTTTAACTTGTGAATGAATAACTATGTAGACACTATGCTATGGATCAATTTTCCCTACTTAAAATTATCTAACTACTCTAATTTAGCTAGTGAAACTAGTATAATATTTTACACACATTAGAAAACTTGGAGAAATGAACTATTCAACTCCTACGATATTCACTCATGGGAGGTGTTCTCAAATTCTGCACGCATCACTCCCTTTTAAAATGTCAAAATATAGAACATAAAATCTAAAAATATAGTTTACTAATTAAAATAAATAAGTTATTGTCGCATATAAAGATATTTTCAAACTAAAGCTATATTTATTTAATTTTGATAAAGTCTCGATTAAATATATAAAATATCCATTGCAAGTTGCAATAAAGAAGAAAACATAATATGAATTATTTTATAAATAAAAAAGAGCAATATCTCTCCTCAATCCGAAG